GTAAAATTATTGTTTTGATAAATTCTCCACGGGTTTCAAGTAGTACTTAATGATCTCTTTTTTTTTGTTAAAACTAACTACTTTATTCTTCAGTGTTATATGTACAGCATTTCTCTATATAATTGATTCTTCACTCCATTTAAACCTAATCGATATCGGTGAATAATGTTTTCTATGTGTGAAAGCAGAAAACATGACGAAAAAATTCGCAAGATAACAGAGCTCAGTAACATCACACTGTTTTATTAATAAGCTTTCATTAAAAAATATTAGTATTTCAAATGCTATCATAATATGTAATAATGATACACTTCATAATTATAAACACTCGTGAAAACGATAACTAGCTTTTAGACTTGAATAAATTTCATAATATATTATGATATCATTATTTAACTCAGCGCAGAGGACCAACTAATGCAGATAATCATCAACTAATTAGCTTTAGACTCAATTTTGCATTTCAGATAGAAATATTCGATCAAGGGATTTAGAATTACTATTACACTGATGTTTCCAGTACTCTTGTTGAGGCTGGTTCTACATTTATCGTGTTTGCACGAATGTATGCAAATCTGGTTTGATGTTGATGATGTGGATCTTCCAAATAACTTCTACCTTCAGAAGAGACATTATTTACTAACGGTAAAGACACACTTGGAGTGGAGAAGCTCACTGTGATGCTTAGAAATAAAAACAATCATGCATTATTGTAAATACATGAATAATAATAATAATAAAAACTTGAAAAACTGTGCAAAACAACATTTGCAAAATCAACATCTTGGATGTTTTAAATAGTCATTTGTACTGTATGTATGCCTTTTAGGTAGTAAAGTACCTTATCTCATATGAATGAATAACTTTTTATATATCTATATGTACCAATGTTGATTATCCTTCTATAGTGCAAGTTGTCTGACTTGATTATGTAATGAATGCATTAAATACATTTTTTTTACTAAATCATAAGTACAAAACAATCATCAACATCACATCTAAAACATATCAAACGATGCTACAACTGATAGCTAGAGAATTGTGATTATCCAACTTTAAGCCTTATATATCAAAAATATTTGTTTAAAAAATTAAAGTTTTGTTGGAGATCTGCTGTTCCACTGGACTGTTCTCATAGATCATATCCACTTTTCTTACTCTGCTAGCACAACACTTCCTGAGAAATACTATATTAACAGATCAAAACATACATCTAACGCAGGCATTCCTAGCAAATTATGTTCTAAAAAATCAAAACATTCTGCTACTACAGACTTCCCTTGTATAATAACAGATCAAAACATTCTGCTAGTACAGACCTTCCTTGTATAATAACAGATCAAAACATTCTGCTACTACAGACCTTCCTTGTATAATAACAGATCAAAACATTCTGCTAGTACAAACCTTCCTTGTATAATAACAGATCAAAACATTCTGCTAGTACAGACCTTCCTTGTATAATAACAGATCAAAACATTCTGCTTGTACAGACCTTCCTTGTATAATAACAGATCAAAACATTCTGCTAGTACAGCCCTTCCTTGTCTAATAACAGATCCAAACATTCTACTAGTACAGATCTTACCTTGTATAATAACAGATCAAAACATTCTTCTATTACAAACCTTCCTTGTATAATAACAGATCAAAACATTCTGCTAGTACAGACCTTCCTTGTATAATAACAGATCAAAACATTCTGCTACTACAGACCTTCCTTGTATAATAACAGATCAAAACATTCTGCTACTACAGACCTTCCTTAAGAATTATGTACTAACAGATCAAAACTTCTTTCTCAATCAAATGGGTCAATTAAAAGCTTTCAGGTGGAAACATACAATCTCCAATAGACTTATAAGATTTGAATTGCATTTTGTACTTATTATATTGGACTAACTTTTAAACAAATTTGTATCATTAATATTATCTTTTTTTTCTAAAAATAATAATGAGAGAGCAAATTTTGTTCAATATAAATGTATTAGGTGATGAAAACAACATTGATATAACATGCAACATTTTGTCATAGTTACTTCAACATTGTTTTCCCCAGCTAGTACTGGAGGATTTCATTTAATATTTGGAAGATATCAGTTCAACATACTATGATAGTCATTAAAACTACCAGTCTCCAATATACACACCCTTATTTGATGTTTGTTGAATGAATATCTGTATTTAGCTGAAATGCCTAGCTTATATCTATTTATAGCCTAGCGATAATCTATTTAAAGTTATTTCCCTTTTATATTTCAAAGATATAAACCTTGAAAACAAAATAAACTAGGTTTATTTTTTAACAGATACACAATTTTCTACGACCTCTGTTTTTACAAACATAAATTTTGGATATATATATTCTGCTGACCTAATCTGGGAATGATTATTAGGTGTATTAGTTGCAATTCTTTCCATGTGTCCAGTTTCATTCCCAGAATCGTCAATTTCATTAGTGCTATCACGAGACTCTACAGATGTTGATAAGCTGGTTTCATGTTGAACTGGAACTTTTAGTAAACGAACACTCCAATTAGTACGTCTCCACTGACTCCACGCTCGATAATGATACCTTGGAATGAGAAGTAACATGTACGTTATTCTACACATTTGACCTCCAGACATTTTCATACACGTTTATTAATATTATGCATGTCAGTTCCTACAATGAAGCTTCATTATTAATAAACTAGATGGCTTCCATTTTTACAATCTGCAAGAGTTTAAAAAACATAAATGATTGTGGATATGGTTACATGCTAGAAAAAGTTTTAAGTTTAACACGGGATGTCTTATTTCTAATTATGTCGTCCTGCGCTGTCAAAGTAGAATGGTACCATTCTTAATTTTGAACCAATTACCAATGGGAGGCAACAGGTTGGCAACTACCTAATACTATATGTGTGTGTGTTGTGTGTGTATATATACATGTATATATATAGATATATATATATACATTGTTTAGTTGTTTATGAAACTATTTTTTTTTGCTTCCTTTCATTATTTGTTAATATTATGCATAATTTTTACATCAAGTTCCCCTAAGTAAGAAGGGATTATTCTTTTAAATTTTAATATAAATAAATGAATTTCACGACTGATATTGCTAATTACTGCTTGACAGAATACTTTAAAAAAAGGTTAAACAAAAGCCCAGCCTAGCTTCGGAAATATAGTGTTGCGTCATCGAGGTCACGTGATTGGCGTGGCGCCCTCTAGTTTCTAGAACTATCTTGTTCCTTCATGAATGCTCTAGTATTTACTAGATAGGGTAGTCTGGTATATATAAGAGGGTGACAACGTGACGCGGGAATAATAATGTAATGTGTGTGTGAAGATAGAGAGTAATTGAACTGCAGTCAGAAGTATTATTG